AAACAAACTGCGAGAAATAAAATTGTGAGTTTTCATCATTGTATTTCTCGCAATTGCGAGTTTGTATTCTCACAATTCTGAGAAAAAGTCATTTTGCAGTTACCTTTTTTATTTTTTTTTCAGTGGTGGAAACAGCTTCCATAGTGAAATGAATGTATTGTTTTTTTAACACGTAGTTGCATATTAATAACAACTAAATATAAATGCTTTATAGTTTAAACTTAAATGCAATTTAGTTGAACCTTGGTAACCACCCACAACACCCTATCTACTGCATGGCAACCCCCAGAATATCCTGTCAATGCCCTAGCAACCATATAGCAAACACACTAACAACCATTTTTATAAGCAAACCGTTTTCAGAAAATGTATTTATTATCATTATTATTTGTTATATGTTTTGTCTATATCTAAAATCACTTCTTTGTCTTCATCTTCATCCACATCAAATACCATTATCTTCAGATCGGATTACATGGAGCAGTTTGAGACAAGGGACCTGAAAGCATTCTCAGCGGAGCCCTTGCTTGTGTTTCCTACACACTACACGGGTGAACCTGGGTATATCAGTGACACAGAAACCTCCACAGTGTGGGACAATGAGAAAGTGCGCACAGACTGGGACAGGAAGCGCTCGGGTAAGACCCGGGAACAGGCTGAGATCAGCACAGAGGCCCAAAACTCAGATGTGCTTCAGTCTCCTCTGGACAGGACAGCCCGAGATGAACTATGAGAGACATTGTTTTGGACACACCACTAGACTTGTTTCTGGGGGGCGAAGTCTAGTTCCACTATGTAAGAACAATATAACTGACCAGAATTTTTTTTTTAATTGGTTGTCTGAAAAAAATGTTTTTAGATTAAACGTCTGTCCCTTTATTTGTAGATCAAATTTGTAACAGAGGCCTGACTGCGCTTTCCGATGACAGCAGCACCTGTTCTTCACTGTATCCTGCAATTAAAAATGCCAGGGGCTGGATTCATGAAAATCTTCTTAAGGAAGAATTTAGCTAATTTTATAAGATAAATGTTAAGTTAGTAAGGATGTTCTTGAGGGCAATTCTTGAAAAATTCTTAAAGGAATAGTTCACCCAAAAATGATTTTTTTTTGAAAATGTACTCACCTTTAGGCCATCCAAAATGTAGATGAGTTTGTTTCTTCATCAGAACAGATGTGGACAAAACAGCATCACATCACTTGCTTACCAATGGATCCTCTGCAGTGAATGGGTGCCGTCAGAATGAGAGTCCAAACAGCTGAAAAAAACATCACAATAATCCACAAGTAATCCACACCACTCCAGTCCATCAGTTAACATCTTGTGAAGTGAAAAGCTGCATGTTTGTAAGAAATGAATCGACCGTTATGGCATTTTAACTTTAAACCATTGCTTCTGGCCAAAACATGCATCCATAGTCCATAATATTGCTTCCTTCAGTGAAAAATTTGCCTAGTCTGAAACGGGAGAAATATAAGCAGATCAAGCACCATTTACAAGCAAAAACAGTCCAAAACATATTCTAAACTATTATATGTCAGTGGATTTTGATGTGAGAGGACAACACGAGATGGATGTTTTCACTGAAGGAAGTGTTATTATAGATTATGGACTTTTTGGCCAGAAGTGCCTTACTGTTAGATTTGTTTCTATAGATTACGTAAGGCATTAATTGATGGACTGGAGTCGTGTGGATTACTTGTGGATTATTGTGATGTTTTTATCAGCTGTTTGGACTCTCATTCTGACGGCACCCATTCACTGCAGAGGATCCATTGGTGAGCAAGTGATGTAATGCTAAATTCTCCAGTTCTGTTCCTATTTAGAAAATAGCAGTTAAGAAGAATTTTATCTTAAGGATATTTTGTGAATTCATCCACTGGTGTTTTTAGAACAGTTTGATTAATAAATCTGAAAAAAACATGTAACTAATATTTTTCTTTCCAGACATGAACATAGTCATTCTTAACAGTAATAAACGAGAAATTAAACGTGTTATTGGAAGGCATGAAGCATGTTATTTTAACTTGAGGGATGTTGTTATTTTTAGGCCTTGATGCCATTATCCTCTTCGGTGGTGTTTCAGACTGTTACTTCCCTTCATCAAAGCCAACAACCGTACAAGCCTCACTGTGTGGTTTTTCTGTCGTATCATCAGGACAGCAATTAAAGGTCTTCACACATTCCACACGGCAAAATTCCCAGTTTTTGGTTCTGACTTCTTTGCTTTTTTGACACGGCACAGCTGAGCAGGCTTTTAAATGTGCTTGATATGATTTTTTGTCATTGCGCTGTTTAGTCACAATGTCGTACTATCGCTATGTATGTAACCGTGACTGTATTTCACCAGCTGTGCCTTAAAAATAAAGAATGGTTAAAACATTTTTCACTGAAAGTAATAGTAGGTCTCTTTTTTTCGTTAGATGGAGGCTGCATGTCATTTCTGTAGAGATACTGAATGACGTGCCATTTAATTTGACCACTTTGTCAGTCATATCAACATCTATATCTGTATTCCAGGTTTAATTATATCACAGCTGTGTAGCCACAAGACAAACATGATGATGCTGGCACAGGCCTGCAAACCATTTTTCTGCATGCTGAAAATAGATAATGTGACTACTGCTTTGAGTATAGATCTCAATTCGCTGGTGGGTAAAATTAGCTTAAACGCTTTAGAGGATATCTAAAAAGATTCAGAATCAGAACAAACTGTTTGTAGTGTATTATAGGTTGTTATGCAGTTGCTAATTATTCTGACTGTTTATTGTACCAGTGTCGTGATAGATGCTACCATGATGTTGCATGGCTTTGAGAGACTGACTCCCGAAACAAAATGTGTTTATTAGTTAATTTATTAATTCAGTTTTTCAATTCATGCTATGGATGTTGTATTGAGATGTAAAACTGATCACTGAATGTACCTTGAAATTCTTACCTGTGTCACTAAGTGCTTTAAATTTGAACAAAAATCAAGCGTAGAGGCCTGTACAGAATGAAGTCCAGTAAGCAAAAAGTTACTTATGCTACTGTACAGTAAGATTTTTGAAAGAAGTCACCAAAGATTCTAACCAAAGTTGCATTTATGTGATTAAAAATACAGTAAAAACAGTAATACTGTGAAATAGTATTGCTATTTAAAATAACTGTTTTGAGTATGTTTTAAAATGTGATTTATTCCTGTGATGGTAAAGCTCAATTTTCAGCATTACTTCACCACATGATTTTTCAGAAATCATTCTAATATACTGATTTGAAACATTATTATCACACTATTATCAACGTCGAAAACAGTTGTGTTTAATATTTTTATGGAAACTGTGATTCTTTGATGAATAGAAAGTTCAAGAGAACAGCACTTATGTGAAACAGAAATCTTTTGTAGCATTATAAATGTCTTTACTGTAACATTTGATCATTTTAATGCATCTTTGCTGAATAAAAGTATTAATTTCTTTTTTTTTTTTTAAACCTTATTGACCCCAAACTTTTGAACAGTAGTACATGAGTTATTATGATTTATGTATGTGTTTCAGACTTCAGTAATCTGTATTTTGCACTCCAGCACAGGACCCGTTATGAAGCTGTGGGTGTTTTCCACACAGTGCCACAAGGTTGTGCCAGATCTCAGAGTATCATTACCTTGGTACTGGAAAGCCAATCGGTGGAGCACGGGTGTTTCTGAGTACTGTATCCTTTTTACTATGAAAATAATTCATGTGTATGTGTATTAAAGGACGACTGCCTAACAGGTCAGCTGTTTAGCACAGTTTCTCAGTACACTGCCAGGCATGTTACCAGGACAGAGAGTCAGACAGAGCATCTGGTGGTTGGGGTGTGGATTTTTGTGCATGTGTGTTATTCTGCATCTCAAACCGTGAAGAGAAGTGGTTGAGTGCATCTGGGAGGGATGTGTGATCATCACAGGCCTGTGGCAGGGGCTTGTAGTCAATGTTACAGGCGGGTTCTTGCTGTGTTGAGGGTTGATTTATCTCCTGATCTGAAAGCATCATCTCGGGTCTCGGGTTTTTTGTCGGCCATGGTTTCTGGTTGGCACGTGTGGTGATGGTCTCGATGACTCACGTCATCGATGGACTTTTTGACATAGGCAGTCATTGTATCAGTGCATTCTTGAAGGCTGCCACTTTGTTACAGTCTGTGTCCTGAAAGCAGTCCAGGAGTGTTGAGAGAGCATCATCTGGCCATACTGTCATCCGCTTTCTGACCGGTTTGGCTAGTTTTACAAGTGGCTGAATGTTTTTCACATTGGACTGTTGAGTTTCACATTGGTCCAATGTGTTGTTACCCTTGTTGCAAAGTTCACGTGTTGGTAGAACTTCGGCAAGACTGAGTTTAGATTTACATGGTTGAAATCACCAGATATAATGAAAAAATCGTCAGGGTTGTTTGTTGTTCGTTCATAGAGCTGTTCAGTTCACGAAGAGCATCCATAGTGTTAGCACACAGGTGGATACACATTCATTTGAAATATAATTTAAATACCATCTTCCTGAACTCATGTCCATAGGTGTATATGCGAGTAGTAGAAGAGAGATGATTTTGCTCAAAATCAATGAGTCGGCCATCACCGAGTTACTTGTGTCAGCACTTGTGTCTCAACCACCAGGGGGCAATGTTGTGAGGATACTTTTCATTGGGTGAATGCTAAAGCAAGATTTCAGGCTCATTTACTGCTAATTCAAGGGTTTTTACTGCATAAAAGTTCCTCATTTGATGCAAATGCAGAATAAAATTATGTTTAGAGATTTGATAAATGAAAGTTGGAGCCCAAATAAAGTAGTTCCAAATTCAAGAGCCTTTGAAAGGCCACAAACAAAGAATCACTAACAAAATAACATTGCAACAAACGCTGCCACAGATTACCAGAAATATCTCAGGCCTTAGCAGAAGTTGGGGGTGTTAGGTGTGTCTGAGAGTGATAGTGAGACAAACTTCCTCCTCATATGATGGTGAAAGAACATTGGCCAACCTTCGCTTTAGAGGAAGAGAAGTGGCGCTGTGAGAGAAGAGAGAGCAGAGTTATCAAAACCCACACAGTCTTCATGTCCTGTGTCAGTGTTCGGTGAAAGGTGATGATTCTGACCGAATCATCTTCAGCTGGGGTGGATGGACTAACTGCTGGATGACAACACGAACACGGTCTGTTGTGAGCTGCTGGTTCATCAGTAAAGGACTAGATGGAGGAGGCAGCAGAGACTGCACAGCTGAGGCAACCAAAAGTTCAGGGTGAGTTACATCAGACTTTGAGGAGAATCAGTTTTTGTTGTAGCTTTATTCTGCAGTAGTGTATATCTCGCTTTCGTTCTCTTTCTTTGCATGTGCGTGCTTGCGTGTTTGTGTTGCATGCAGTGATCAGTGCATGATCAGAGCACTTCCTGTCTTGTCCATTTTGCCTTTGTACAAAAGTTGCATGGCAAGGAAGTTTTCATGTGCAGGACATTTTGACAAATGTACAAAATTACCACATCTTGGGGTGACTTGTGACTTCTTTCCACGTAAAAAAAAAAAAAGTTTCTTTTTGGCACTCAAAATGGAATTTTCTTTAGTAATTTATTTTATTTTATACTTTAATACTTTTTTTAAATTTATTTAGACATTCTCATAGAACATATAACTGGATTAAATCCAGGATGTGGAAATAAACCTCAATAAGACCTCAGTGGGAGGAAGTCACATGCACTGGTTTCAAATAATTTGCGATAGATGCAGTGCTTCTCATTTCAACCACTTTAAGTGTCACATGTCATTTAACATTATCAGTTTGAAATTAGTATCAGAATGAGAATTAAAACATTCTATATATATCAACTAACAGCATAATGTGTCAACTGACAGCATAACCGCAGTGCACATCCTTGAGATGACTTTGACATCCGGTGGGTGAATTTTATTCCATACAGCTGAAATAATCTCTTCATCAAAAACAAGTCCGTATTGTCCCTGTAGCAGAGCATGTTAACAAACCTAGACAGGATGCGGTTGACCTAAATGGAGCATGGCAGAGAAAAAGAGAAAGAGAGATTGACTATGACACTTTCTTTGTTAGTGCAGCATAAGTGTGGCACATCGCATGTTCAGAGCCATATTTACAGTATTGCAGATGCGCATTCAAGAGTTCATGTTAAGTAAAAACTCAGAAAAGCATGTCTAAACTTTAGATAAGCAATTTACGTGTGCTTTAAAATATGCAATAAAATGATTTGTGCAAGGTGATTCAAAAATGCTGTAGGCTGGCTCACATTTGCCGCTTTATCTTTATTGCTTTTGTCACGAAATGTTTGTGTGAACTTCAGTAGTGTGACTTCCTGTCCTGATGTCAAACGCATATTTCACCGAGTCATTAATTGTTTTTACTCTAGTTTTAAGTTCCAGTTCCTGCAAGTGTTCACACAAAAGTGAATGTACTTTAAGCACAATCAACAACCTCCTTCACAAAGAAGTGTTATCGTACTTTAACTTGTTTTACATTACACTGTCCATGTTACATATATTATAGTTTTTCCATAATATCGAAACAACAACAACAAAAAAGAAACTGATATTGATTCTCCTGGCAGCTACTGTAGTAAAAAGGCAGTTACGAGAAAATGGTTAAAGATCACCTACGGCTGAGGAATAGATAGATATTACACAATATATATTTGATGGAAGGAATATAAAGTAAATTGACTGTAATAAACTGACTAATAGTAAATTGACTGAATGGATTAATCCTATACAATCAGACTTAATTGAACAGCAATTGGTCTGTAAGGTACAGTAGTTCCTTTAGGAATTTATTAGGAAGTTATTACTTGCACCCCATGTTATATTGTGTACAGTTGAAACAGAAAAAAAACATTTAGAAAATGAAAGAATTTAGTTTATAGGATTGATGGCATACAATTCTATTTTGTAACCATATTAATATTAATGTTTTTGTTTAACTGTACAAATAATGCCAGTCTTGGTCATTGTAGCCTATGTGTTTTCTATGGATGCCCGTTTCCGCCACTGAATAAAAAATAAAAAAGGTCATTGCGACTTTTTATCTCACAATTCTGACTTTTTTTCTCAGAATTGCGAGTTTAAAGGTCATAATTGTGAGATATAAACTCGCAATTCTGAGAAATAAAGTCAGACCTGCGAGATATAAACTCACAATTCTGAGAAAAAAAGTCAGAATTGCGAGATATAAACTCGCAATTGTGAGAAAAAAAGTCTTTTTTTTTAGAATTGCGAGTTTTTATAACATGCAATTGTGAGTTTATGTCACGCAATTCTGAGAAAAAGAGTCAGAAGTGTGAGTTTATATCTCGCAATTCTGACTTTAGGCCTATAACTTATATAAAGTCGTGGCCTAATGGTTAAAGAGTCGGACTCGTAACCCAAAGGTTGCGGGTTCGAGTCTCGTACCGGCAGGGATTGTAGGTGGGGAGAGTGAATGTACAGCGCTCTCTCCCACCTTCAATACCACGACTGAGGTGCCCTTGAGCAAGGCACCGAACCCCCAACTGCTCCTGGGCGCCGCAGCAAAAAAATGGTGTGTGTGTGTGTGCACTTTGGATGGGATAAATGCAGAGCACTAATTCGGAGTATGGGTCACCATACTTGGCCACATGTCACTTCACTTCATATAAAATATATATAATCAGCTTCTCATTTTAAAAACAATCACATGCAGCATCATGACCTGTCATGTTCTTTTGTTTCAGATGGTGGTACCCCAGTCCGGCACTTAGAAACCAAGCGTTACAGTGAGATTTTACGTGATTTTGACGCTAACTTGGATCTGTCATTAACATGCTCGTACGTAGATCTTTTCACTTTCTTAAAAATAAAGGTTCCAAAGTTTTGGGTTGTTTTTTTTTGCAGTGATGCGTAGAAGAACCATTTTTGGTTCCTCAAAGAACCTTGTATTGAAGAGCTCTTAAAAGAACCATTTATTTCTTACTGTGAAGAACATTTTAATAATCTAAAAAAATCTTTCTCCACTATAAAGAATTTTAAAGGTTGAATTCATGGAACCAATAAAGAACCTTTATTTTTAAAAGCATAAAAATAGTTTGAATAAATGAAATACCGGCTCTATTTTGGCTCTGTGAGAACGCTTCATTTTTAATATGTTTGTGTCGGTTGATTTGATTTCTCAGGACTGTGGATGAGCTGCTACAAGAAGCAGACTCACTGTCTTTAACAGACACTTCAGCAGACACCACACTGAACGCTGATCTGGATGATATTACAGTGAGACATGATTGATGAATTATTGTTCCCACTCTCTTTCTCATATACTCGTACTCATATTTCTTGATACTTTTGGGTTCAACAATTTCTCTCAACCAAGTATTAAAAATATTCCATGTGGTTTACGGTGAATATTAAAAGCTGTGTGTTTTGTAGGGTGAAGATGTGGAGTCGTTGAAGATCTGCCGTGAGGAGGAGGAAAAAGACGGAGCCGTAACCGGTAATTCTTTTTAAGACCGTTTTGTATGGGTGTTTGTTTGCTGGACATTTGGAGGAAGACTAACAGGGGTGGAGGAGTAATGAGATTTGCAATGTACAGTTTGTTTGTGCTCTCACAAATATTAGAATGAATATCATACATCCAGCCAGGTTCATGGTGGTTGCTTGATTCAACATGGTCTTCTGTCCATCATTTGGACATAGACAGCAGTGATCTATCTGAGAGGAGAAAAGCAAAGCAAGAGTGAATGATCAGGCCCGGAGGCATCATGTCACGCTACTAAATCTCTCTTCTTCAACCTGCACTGTTTACGTGTAATTAGCCACATGGACTAATTGCCCCTCGCTAACAAGATTAGCACCGGACGGTGGTTAGAGAGCAGATTAAAGCGGCAGACAGCTGCTCTCTGTTTTTCCCACTGATCCATCTCTCTGAAAACTGTAGAGAGATAGGATAGCATAGGATAGCATGTAAGCATTAGAACTGTAATCTTTATATAAAATTAGAGTAGAAAGTAATATATGGATATGAATTATAAATTATGAAGAGGAGAGTAGTAACCAAAGATAAAATAAGATTATTTTGACTAGGTGATGGCTGTGCTGTATTGAATATACAGTGGGTATAGAAAAGAATCACCCCCCCTGCACTTTTATGGGATAAAGTTGTGGACCGGCACAAGTCAGGAGATGGATACAAAAAATGTCAAAGGCTTTATCAATGCCTAGAAGCACAATGAATCCATTACTAAAAAGTGGAAGGTATTTGGTACAACACAGACCCTCTCTGCATCAGGACGTCGCTCTAAACTGGATGAAAGAGCCAGAAGGAAACTGGTCAGAAGCGACCAAGAGGCCTACAGCAACTCTGATAGAGTTGCAGGAATTTATGACAAAGAGTGGTCATTGTGTGCATGTGACAACAATATCACAAATTCTCCACAAATGTGGCTTGTATGGGAGGGTTGCAAGAAAAAAAAGCCACTCCTCAAGAAAGGCCACATGCAGTCACGACTGTGCTTTGCCAAAACACACACACTGAGGCAGGTGAGATTAAAATGTAATTATTTGGCCTCAACATCAAACGATATGTTTGGCGGAAATCCACTACAGCTCACCATCCAAATAACAGCATTCCTACAGTAAAGCATGGAGGTGGTAATATCCTGTTATGGGGTGTTTCTCTGCAGCAGGGACTGGAGCACTTGTCAGGATAGAAGGAAAAATGGATGGGGCAAAATACTGTCAAATTCTTGAGGAGAATCTGCCCTCTGCCAGAAAGTTGTCAATGGGAAGAAGGTTTACTTTCCAACATGACAATGACATAAAACACACAGTGTTGACCACATAGTGGTTGAAGGAGAAAAAGGTGAATGTCCTTCCATGGCCTAGTCAGAGCCCAGACTTAAACCCAATTGAAAATCTGTGGAATGACTTGAAGACTGCAGTCCACAAACGCTCCCCATCAAATTGAACTGAACTTGAGCAGTTCTGCAAAGAAGAGTGGGCAAATATTACAAAGTCTAGATGTGCAAAGTTAGTAGAGACAAATCCCAACAGACTAAACGCTGTAATTAAAACAAAAGGTGGTTCAACAAAATACTGAAACAAGGGGGTGATCCTTTTTCCAACTCGGTGATTCTGTTTTTTTTTTTGTTTTGTTTTTTTCAGACATGTTGGTGTTGTATCTTTCACTTGGATGATTATACAGCTGGATAAAACAAAACTGTGTCCGTTTTCATTTCAGGCTGCAAAGCAACAAAATGTGATTATTTTAAAGGGGGGTGATTCTTTTCTATACCCACTATATATTGACGTCATCTTCCTTGGCTAGACCTGCTTGTTCTGTGAGTTTATAGCTGCTTGGTAGCTGAGATTAGGGATTACGTTAACACTCAAAAGTTTAAATAAAATATCCGCACAGTGACCTTCGAGGTGATATCTTGGCTTGTACTCACGGAGCGCATCACCTTCATTACTCACATCTGAGACAGACTTCAGCATCAACCATATATTCTATAGTTCTGTCCCCCACTGTGAGATCTGATCAGCCAAATGGACTGACTAAGCAGAGACATTTCATGACTTCTTTGGATAAAAACTGTGAGTTTATTGTCTTGTATCCCCTAACATCATATTAAATCATATATATTCATTTTAAATTGTTAATTAACAAATGGCTAGGTTGACCAGTAATTCCATAATTCACCCCAGTATCAAGAGAAATTAGTATGAGAAGTAGAAGAAATTATATTTTGCTTTACAAATTAAATAATGTATCATAATTATTTTTGTCTTTTTCTGCATCACGATAAGAATGTTTTTTCTTACACATCACTGTAATGACAATGAGGTTTTTTTTGCATCACGTTAATGACAATGATATATATATTTTTTTTTTTCTCAAATCATGGTAACGAGAATGAGATTTTTCTGCATCATTAATGCGAAAGAAATTTTCACATCACAGTAATGACAATGAGATTTTTTTCGCATCACAGTAATGACAATGATTTTTTTTTTTTATCACCATAATGAGGAATTATATTTTTTCGCATCACAGTAATGACAATGATTTTTTTTATCACCATAATGAGAATGAGATTTTTTCACATCACAGTAATGACAATGATTTTTTTTTATCACCATAATGAGAATGAGATTTTTTCACATCACAGTAATGAGGAGACTTTTATGCGTCATAGTAATGAGAATGTGTGTTTTCACATCACATTAATGAGAATTAGTTTTTTTTTAATACATCACGGTTTTGAGAATTAAATGTTATTGTATTGCAGTGTCGCAATACAATTTTTTTTACAACTGTTTTAAAAAAACAGGCTTAATTGTTTATACAATATATAACTATTAGAGAAGCAAAAAGAGAGAAAGAGTGTTTAAGAGAGTGTTAAGTAATGATGAGATACCGATTTCCTTATATCAGGAAGTCAACCCCACCCTAATCTAAAGACCATCACTCTACAGTCTGCTACTGTCCTGGATTATTTCCCCTCCCCTCTGCACTAAACATGCACACACACATATACATATGCCTTAACATGACAAGACAGGAAGTATGGCAGGATAGAAGTTGGATAGAGACACTCCAGCACAAATTGGAGGGATGATGAAGAAAATTCATGTTTTTAGTTCTGATGTTTTGATCAGATCAGATTTTTAGCATTTAATGGACAGGGAGGAGACAGCAGACAGAGGGAGGGTGAACTGTCTCGGTCTCTGTGAAATCCTCACGCACTCACTGCTGAGTCCTAAAGCCTCATGGACACTACTGAGCGAGCTCAGGAGTTCCCTAGACACAAATTTTGCATGGATATTGAATTACCAATCCGGAATATTGTGGTGGAGAGTAGCAGGGATTCGACTTTTCCCTTGGACTATCATAGATGTTATGATTCTGTGCTTGATTGCGACATCTTTAGCAGACATTTGGAGAATGATAGCTTACTGCATTGATTTTAACAATTAAGTTGCTTTTTTGGGAACAGTCTGTGTTGTGATGGCAATTTTGGAAGATTACAGGAGATTTATCCTGTATAGTAACAGCCGACAGGATCAATAAAGCTGGTTGAGGACAAGCCACTGTCAGTCCCGAGCGGGGTTTAGCTTACTTAGTGTAAGGCATGCACACGATCCGTTGATGCTGATGTATTCCCCCTCAGCCCAGGATGCCGACCTGACCCTGTGTCGCTGCGAGGGTGGCGTGGAGCTCGCCCTGCAGTACGCCAAAATGTGGTGCCGTTACGCCAAAGACCTGCTGACCTGGATGGACAAAAGAATCAGCCTGGGTGAGTGTTTTAAATTTAGTCTTCGATTACGTGAACGTCTGACAAATAGTCGCTGGAACATAGAGAAACATACATCCACTAACTGTCAGAAAAATATAGCAAACTAAAAGTAGACTTATGTTTTCGATGTGCTGACACATTATGTTTAGGTTAGATTTGTTTGCCAGTAATTATAGGTCATTTCTGCCTGGAAGAGAAGCCGAGGGACCTCTTCCGGAAACAGAATAAGAGTGTAAAATTGGATCTCTGTGAGAATATGAGTTGTGCTGAACAACACCTGTAATGGGATGAAGTAACCTTTAAAGGTGACATATCATGAAAATCTGACTATTCCAGGTTTTAAGTGCTATAATCAGGTCCCCGGTGCATCTACCAACCAAGGAAACGTGAAAAAGATTAACCCAGTAACTTTGTTTAGGTAAGCCTTTTTCTGCAAGCGTCTGAGAAAACGAGCGCGTCTGATTTCACTCCCTTGGTGACGTGGCAAAGGGTTCTCATTATAATATTACCGCCCTTCAATCTGTAAGTTTCCACCCACGGCGCCGTCATTGTGATTT